TTCAAAAACAAGCAAACAAACAAACAAACAAACCAGAACAGGTATATCCTGGGAAAAGTACAGCTGCAGTGTTCCTTGGAGGTTGGAATGGTAAAGCTTCATCTCTCTTGATGGATATGTTACTAAGAGAGGCTATTACTTGGTAAAGGATATTATGCTTTGAGTGGTAGAGGGTCAGTGAATGAGAAGTGCCCCATCAGGATGGATGGATAGGTGACTACAGAAATGGCCCCAAGTGTATCAGAGATGGTGAGGATTGCATAGGATTGGACAAAATTCTGATCTCAAAGGGTTGCTCATAGGTTGCTCATAGGATTGCTGTGAGTTGTTTTCTACTCAATGGCACCTATCAACAACAAGGTGCATAGGACACACACCATAACACTTTCATTTGTCTTGTAAGCATGCAGAACAAGGAATAAAGAAGACAGAAGAATTAATGCATCTGTTGGCAAAGAGTATGTAATATATCATGAATTTATTGTGATCCATATAGTCAACTGCTTTTGCAGAGTCATAAAACACACACGAACACTTTTCTGGTATTCTCTCTTTTCTGTCAAGATCCGTCTGACATCAGCAATGATATGCCGATATTCCATAGCTTCTTTTGAATCCAACTTGAATTTCAGGGAGTTTCCCATCAGTGTACTGTTCTATATACCTTTCAAACACAACTTTTCCTCATTTTTTCTAATGCAGTGTTCACTTTCTATCCATTCTTTTCCCAGTCCTCTCCAACAGCTCCCCATCTATCCTATTTTACAACAGCAGTGTTTTGCAGTATTTATCCTTCTGCGATTGAGATACTTCACTTAGTATAAGGTCCTCAAGGCTGCCTGATGTTGCGTATGTTTTATTATTTCATTGTTTTTCAATGCTGCTTAGTATTCCATTTTGTGGATGTACCATAGTTTTTCTGGGGAGGGAGTGAGAAGGGGAAGGTAAAATGTGCAAAAATGAAAAACTAAAAGAAATATCTTAAAAAGGCAAGTTGTTGTTGTTATGTGCCATCGAGTTGCTTGCGACTCATAGAGACCCTATGTACAAGAGCTCTAAATGCTCTTCTATCCTGTGCCAACCTAGCCATCTCAAATGCACTTATTCCCACCTCTCCAGTCACAGAATCGATCCATCTCATTGAAGGTCTTCCTCTCCTTCGCTGCCCCTCCACTCTGTCAAACATGATGTACCTCTCCAAGGACCAGTCCCTCCTTTCAACATGCCCAAAGTATGTCAGAAGAAGCTTCAGAATCCTTGACTCTAAAGAGCCTTCCGGCTTCATCTTCTTCAGGACAAACCTGTTTGTTCTCCTAGCAGTCCATGGTATATTCAACACTCTTCTCCAGCACCACAGCTCAAAGGCATCAATTCTCTTTCTAGCAACCCTATTCACTGTCCAACTCTCTGATGCGTAGCACATAATTGTGAAGACTATAGCCTGAACCAGGCTCACCTTAGTCTCCAGCCTGACATCGTTGCTCTTCAGTACTCTTGAGAGGTCGCTCACAGCCGACTTTCCCAATGCAATTTGTCTCTTGATTTCCTGGCTGCTGTTACCAAGAGTGTTGACTGTGGAGCCAAGTAAATTAAAACTGTTAACTATCTCAATCTCTTCACCATCCATACTGATGCTGTCAATTGGCCCAGTGGTGAGAATCTTTGTTTTCTTGATGTTGAGCTTCAGTCCATACAGGAAGGAGGCTGTAGTCCTTGATCTTCTGCAGCAAGCACTTCAGGTCCTCCTCAGATTCAGCAAGCAGAGTTGTGTCATCTGCATAACACAGGTTGTTGATTCTTCCACCAATCCTAATGCCACATTCCTCCTCGTACAGCCCAGCATCTCGGATGATCTGTTCTGCATACAGATTGAAAAGATATGGAGACAGAATACATCCCTGACAGACCCCCTTCTTGATTTTGAACCATGTAGTATCTCCTTGCTCTGTTCTGACCACTGCCTCTTAGTCCGAGTATAAGTTTGGCATTAGCACAATCAAATGTTCTGGGATTCCCATTCTTCTCAGAGTCAGTCACAGCTTGTTGTGATCCACACAGTCAAAAGCCTTTGCATAGTCAATGAAGCACAGATAGACATTCTTCTGGTATTCTTTGCTTTCTGCTTAGATCCATCTAAAGGGAAGTACAATATTTTAAAAACATGTACTAGGCATTTTTTTAATAATCTTCAGCAAAATTTTACTTGCATATAATATTAATATTATTCAATAACTTCCATACTCTTTTGGGTGAACTTTTCTAGAATGGGAGGAAATGGGTATCTCTTCCAATCAGTTGACTAGATGATTGTCTTCCATATTACTTGGCATAGGCTAATGAGCATGCCCAGGCTTTACACTGGCATCCCAGACATTAGTGAACTGAGATGGACTGATACTGGCCACTTTGAATCAGACCATCATTTGATCTATTATGCCAGAAGTGAAAAATTGAGGAAAAATGGTGTTATAGTTATTGTCAAAAAGACCATAAAATCTATCTGAAGTATAATGCTGTCAGTTATGGGATACTATCCATGTGCATTCAAATATACATAATTACAGCTAAAGCCAAAAATGAGGAAATTGTAGATTTCTTTCTATTTTTCAATCATTTATTGCCCAAATATGCGACCAAGATATATTAGAAAACCACAGGGCTGAACATTGGCGAATAGAGGGAACGGAGGAAGGAAACGGGAAGGATTCAGGTTAAAAGACAGGGTAATGATGGGGAAGGACCCACAGTGATTAAGTCTATAAAGCATAATGCTTGAGAATGATTATATGAAACACAATATGAATGAAGAATAATGTGAAACATAATGTATATGAACTTTGTTAGCAAACCAATAAAAAAAATAGTGGTAACTTGAATGTGAAAGTTGAAAAGAAAAAAAGAAAGACTGATAGTTGAAGATTATGGACTTGGTGACAAAAATGGGGCAGGAGGTGGGATAATTTGAATTGTGTACAATAAATGATTTAATAATTGCCAATCTCTAGTGACATAGTGGCAAGAAACTGTGTTGCAATTTTGAAGGCATGTGGTTCGAGGCCACCAGCTGCTCCGTGGGTGAAGGATGAGCAAGCTCCTCCAAAGCAATTAACTGTCTCTGAAAACTTGTAGCTACACAACAACAACATGAATTACTAGAGAAACAAATCTTTCTTGTATAACCAAACACTTTTTATAAGGAAAGACTTTAAGATTTTATCTAACATACCTTGGACATGTTATCAAGAGGGATAGACATAGGCATGGTGTTTGGTAAAGTGGAGTATCAGTGAAAAGAGGACTACCCTGCTAGAGATAGACTGACACAGTGACTGAAACTGTATGTTCAAGCATTGCGGGGATGTGAGGATGGCAGACATCTAGGCAGTGCTTTGTTCTGTCATATACCAGGTCATTATAAGGCAGAAACAACACTATGGCTTTCATGACAAAAACAATATGCTTTGGCTTCTGATTAACTCTTCTTTTGCTACATATTTCCCTTCCTTAGTTTCTAAAGAAAGGCTACATAACACGTATGTTTAAAATTTTTTCATATATGAAAACATCGGCACTTACTTTTCAACATATTTAAATAATAGTTTACCTGGAAATAGGATTGTTATTGTTGATTGCTGTTGACTGGAGAATAACTCATAGCAACCCTATGAACAAAAGGCCTGAAGCCTTTCTATAACTAGCAACATTTATCAAAGTTCATAGAGTTTCTAGAGGCAAGTTGTTCAGGAAATGGATATCACTCCAATTTCTGTCTGCATTTTTAAAGCATTCCAGCACTTTTCTTTCTAAACTTATGGTTTAGAAGATCAACATCATTCTAATTCAAAATCCTCAATCAATAGAGTTTGTATTTTGTTTTTCTCTACTTTTCCTCTGAAATCTGTTAATACTTCCTCTTCAAGCTGATATTCTCATATTTCATCACAATTGTTCCTTTTTGTGAGGTATCAATATTTGTTAACCTTTCTAAGAGACTCATGTCATTTTTTGTGTGGGAGGGTAGTGTAGCTCAACACTTAACCCACTGTGCCTCCATGAGTCCTTTGACATATAATTAAGCACTCTATAAGTGCTTAATGATAATTAGATTGTTTTAGAAAACACATCTGGTCAGTGACCATTGATTTGATTCTTCTAACTTGTTCTGTGAAGCTTGGTATATAACTCAATCTAGATTTCAGAGGGTCATACATGTCACGAAGCTCAAGTCCTATGACATGGCTAATGCATTATATCTTGTGCTATTTCTTGTCAAGTGGTTTTGCTAACATATGGTGAGCTTGGCCTGAAGCATTGACCTTTTCCTTGCCTGAAACTGCCTTTGGGCTTGTAGTAAGAACCACAATACTCTTCCTCAAAACCTCTTCTTTCCTTGTGCAATAAATGCTAATGGTGTCATTGTCTTACGGAATGTTTGTTTAGTGCAGCCCTGCATTTCTTTCTCCATTAGAAGGGCAAAGGGTTGAGGTCAGATCTAGGGCAATCTCAGAATGAAGATGGAGCCCTATTCCAGTCTATCTTTCTTTCAGCTCCCATAAGGAGTTTACATGCAAATGAATGCAGTCTGGACAGTTGGACAGCGAATTACATTTTATGCAAAGCTTCAGAGTGGTCCAGATGCTTACAGCTTAAATAGGCACATGCACATGTCCACACACCTGGAACTCAGGCACACAGAAACCCCCCTTTCCAAGCATGGCATAAACATGTACATATGCCTACCATTCCGTCATCCATTCACACACACAGATACAGAGAGAGACAGAGACAGAGACATACAGAGAGACCACAGAAAAGTGCTCAGCACATTTTGTCTTACACCCCAAAATTAGGGACACTCACTATTCAGGAGAGAGGAAAGGGAAGATTATGAGGCAAAAAGAGAAATGAAACCTAAAGCTCCCGCCCTGTCAGCATTAGTAGGGTATAAGAAATGGACTTTGGACAGACAGACAGTCTCCTGGACGTTTTCAACAGTCAAAATGTCCAAAAGGTTTTTCATTCTCTTGCTGATGATTGAGTTCGGGCCGCTTTATCTGAGTAAGTGTTCTGGAGCCTTCCATCTAGCTGTGTCTGAGGCTGATTCCTGCACACTGATCTGGGCCCCATGGAGGAGAAACCTCCACCAGATCGATTTCTCTGCCTCTTTACCCCTCCCACTCTCCTACCTCCCAGATTTTTTTCTTCTAAAAGTTTCTCTCCTGTCTTTCAATTCCCACCTCCATAATATTTTAAATAGCATTTAAAAGAAATATTTTAAAAAATTACAAGAATATTTTTTAAATAATAAATCTGCACAGAAAATCTAAAAAGGTAAAGTAAAATGAGAGAAAAAAAGTTTCTCTGAAGTCAGAGTGAGGGGTATTTTTTTTTTCAAAGTACTCCTTTCATCACTTTTATTGTCATCTTTGTTTTAAGGACGTTTTATTTTTTTGTTGTTCTGTTCTGATGGGGATATACCTTTTGTGCACACTGTTTCCAAGTTGTGGATGATGTAAATACGCATCCCTGGTTTTGACCAGCTAAGTTCTCTGGTTTCCGTGTAGTAGATGACAGTGCCTTGAAATGAGTTATGCTGCATTTTGGTCATTAACTATTGCCTTTAGGAAATTATCTAAAGAATTTTTTTTTCTGTTTTTTTGGGAGTTGGGATGGGATCAGTTTAAAAATCTAGGCTTAGACAATACTTAATCCTCCTTGTAGTTTTCAAAGCCCATGATTCTTTACTTATAAAGATTTCAAATGTCTTGCCTGGGAAAGCATCTACAATTCAGTGAAGGAACCCTGGGAGTGGATTGAGTTACATGTTGGGTTGTTCACCAAAAGGTCATCAGTTTTTAAATACACAAGATGTTTCCTTAGAGAAAGATGAAGCTGTTTGCTGTCATTAAGATTTCAGCTCTGAAACCTGTTGGAAGGTCACTGTGACTTGGATTCAACTTGACAGCAATGTGCTCACTTTGGTTTGGGTACTCCATGTTGAGCTGCTAACCGAAAACTTATCAGTTCAAGTCGGCCAGCCTCTCTGAGGGAGAAAATGGGAAGTCTCCACTTATAAATACTTATAATCTCAGAAACTTTATTAAGGGTCATTGTGAACTGGTATAGAAAGATGGAAGTAGTTTGGTTTCTGGGGTTTGGTTACACCATACATTCTCAGATTTCTACTTAGTTCAGGTTCTAGTGACCAACCCACAGCCCACAAACTGATCTGATAGCCCCTAGAGATTCCTCTTTAGAGAACTTGTCACCGGGTGGCCACTGCTTACATACCTACTCTCTCCTCAAGTGCTCTGTTGGCTCCAGGAGGGCAGGTGTATTTTCTCTTCTAGTGCCTTGTTCATGCTTGGTACACAGCAAATCATTGAAAGGAAGACATAATGCCACTTTGGTTTTTGCTTTGGCATGTAGTTTTGAAGGAGTATGTAATAATACTAGAGTTTCCATATTCTTGTGATGGTGAATAATGCTGCTATGAACATTGGTATATAAATCTCAGTTTGTGCCTCAGTTCTCATATTCTCAGGGTATATTCCAAGTAGTGGAATATCTGGACCATATGGAATTTCTATGTTCAGCTTTTTGAGGAAGCACCAAACTGCCTTCCAGAATGGTTGTACCATTTTATTTATAAGAGTTCCTTTCTCTCCACATTCTCTTCAACATCTATCACTTGCTGCCCTGTTAAACTTTGCCATTGTTTCTGGAGTGAAATGGTACCTCATTGTGGTTTTGATTTGCATCTCTCCTATTGCCAGTGATTTGGAGCATTTTTTCATGTGTCTGTTTACCATCCGAATATCTTCCTCTGTGAAAATTCTTTCTATGTCTTTTCCCAATTTTGTAATTGGGTTATTAGTCTTTTTCTTGTGGAGGCCCAGGAGTATTCTGTAAACTTTTGTTATTGAGATATTATGGTACATTCACACAATGGAATACTATGCAGCATGCAGAAGCAATAACTTTGTAAATTATTAACTAACTTGGGAGGGACTGGAGAGTATTATGCTTAGTGAACTAACTCAGTCCCTCAAGGATAAATATTGTATAAAACCATTACCGTAGAATGAGTATAAGGATCCAGGAGGGGTGGGAGAGGCTGGAAGCAGAGGAATGTGGATGTACAGGGGTACAATGTGGGTGTACAATTTGATGGGGGGGTGAGGGGAATTGAAAGAATTTGTTTGAATTTGCATTAGAATTTTGTAAATAAACTAGTAGAAAAAAACAAAAACCCAATACTAGAGTCTGGCTCTTTTCACTGGCTCTGTTGTTGTTTGTTTTTATGGGCCTTCATCTTATCCTAGGGAGAGGATACAGACAGTTTGCTATCCTGATAGTTGCCAGAAATGTCCACATTTTCTGCTATTGGCTGAGACACAGGTTGAATGGGCTTCTTCTACCCCGCTTGAAAGGGACAGTAGTGCCTGACCAACTAATCTTGTATGTGTGTATGTGTGTTTGTCCATGCACTTTCATAACTTTTCTAAAGTGATTGATTTAGAAGTTAGTGCCTGCTGAAAATCGTTAATAATCTAAGCTGATTTGGCTCTTATGAGACACCTAATCAAAGTTTCATTTTAGATAATGAAATTGTGACAAGACTTGAGGGGGACCCATATATTCACTATGGTAGAGTTGGTTCCAACTAACTGCAACCTAACTTTCAGTTTTTGAGGCTGAAAATCACAATGGGAGGAGACTTAACTATTTTTCTCCCACTAAACTGCTGCAGAAACACGGCCTTTGTGTTAGCAGAGGAGCTCACTTTGGACTGTGCTAGGACTTTGCGTGATGCAGCCTGAAGCCTGAGAGCAGAGCCTTAAGCGTACCCACTACCTGAATAAGTTTCCAAGAGAGGAACTGATCTGAGATCACTGACTGCATTATTGTAGTATACTTTAGCAGCTGAGAAGAAAAGTTCTTGTCTTATTTCTAAACTTGGCAGTGCCAAGTTTGATTTTACTTCATGTGGTATTTGGTACTCTATTTTATGTCAACATTATGTCCATTTTAGAGTATTATCCTCTTTACTTTATAATGAAAATGAGGTCACGATTAGTGTGATTTAATTCAAGAACACAAAGGCAGTTTCTCAATGAAGTTTACACCATAAACCTCATTGGTATTTTTCTTGGTACCAAGTTGCCTGCTTCCTGTTTTTAAACAAATTCATTTTTAATCATATGAGTAATACAGAAATACCCCTTTTTAAAGTAATAAAAACACAATCAAACTGAAGTCCCTTTTGACTACTATCTAGTTCCAGTTCCATTCCTTTGATTATAAGAGTCACTGGGAGGTGTTCAGCATATATCTTACCAGGTCTTTTCTATGTTGTTACTCTGATGAATCTAAAACCATAGAAAATGCAAACTTTTTAAGTTTTGTCTTTTAAGAAATGATTTAAAGTTATGCATTGTTTTGAAACTTGCCATTTTCATATGTTAATAACTTCGTGGTTTTCATGTGAATCCTTGGTGCTCAAGCTGATTATTTTCATTATATATGCATATACATATACATATACATATACATACACACATATACATATATACACATATACATATCCTTAAAATGAGGATGCCATGGATTAGCCTTCCCAAGGATAGACATGTTTATAGCAGTTGCCTATTCACCTAATGCTTGGGAATGTGTGGTTCCATTTACATATGAAAAAATTTCTAGGTAGTGGGGCCGGTTAATGTACTCACTGCAAATCGAAAGTTTGAATGTTTAGGTTCATGCACTGATGCCTCAGAAGAAAGGACTGGTGATCTATTTCTGAATTATCAGCCTTTGAAAACCCTATAATTTTCAATGAGATAGAGGAAAAGGGAGCGAGAGGAGAGGAAAAAAATTATCAACACATAAGTCAAGTGAAGGGATAGGTAATGTAAAAAAAGTCTTAAGGTTGACTCATTTTGTCTATGAAGACTAAAAACAAAACAAAATAAGAAGAAAAACCCCTATGTAGCACAGTTTTACTCAAACACTCATGGAGTTGCCATAAGTCAAGACTAAATCACATCCTAGCTAACTTTTGATAACTTCTAATATTGTCATGAGTTGAAATGATAATTGGAGGGAAAAAAATCACAGGTACATAAAGGCCACAATAAACTGCAAATATGTGGACTTGTGTTCTTCTGGAGTGATATTTGTATTTGTTGTTAGGTAATCTCTCATCAACTACCATTCCTAGCAACCTTGTGTGTGAAATATCTGACACGCGACCTAACATGTGCTATCCCCATGATCTCCTCCGGCTCAATCCCATTGTTAAAACCACTGTGTCATTATATCTGTTTTGGTTTTTTATAATATCTTTGCCTGGTTTTTGTACTTGGGTTATGCTTGTTGAGGGTCTTCCTCTCTTTTATGGACCCTCTGTTACTTATAGTCAAGGATGATGAAACTTCATTTCATATACTTGGGGCATGTGGTTAAGAAGGGCCAGTCTTGGAAAAAAGACATTATTCTGAGAAGGTGGAAAATTGGCTAGGGACAATAAAAAGTGAAATTGCTAGGGCTTACCTAAAAGACATGCATATTGAATCTTAATAGAAACTGCCCAATTTCCCATGATGTGGCAATCACACTTTCCTTTAATTCCGCTTGGCCCCAGTATGCTAAGTCATTTCCTAGATTCCTCCCAGCAGTTCCTGACAGTCCTCATTTACTCATATCTTATCTACCACTTGGTATTTTCTAAGTTCTCAGTTTTGTCTAGTACAATGGGTGAAATGCAATGGCTATTCATATTTCTTCATCTAGGAATTGCCAGTGTTTCTATTGCATCTCTGCTTACTGATCAGTTGGGTGCTATACTTGGCAAAACGCATTGTTGAATCTCCAGTTGAAATAATTTTTGCAGTATTTTAAAAGTTAACATAGCAAATATTAGGAGGAATAAGCACCTTTTTAAAGGATTTAGTAGTTCTAGAGTGGGGGGGGGGAGTGTTGGTGATCACAATGTGTGTTGAGGGCAATGCCAGTGAGGTTCTTTCTCTTCCTGGTTTTATGAAGGGAAAAATGGATGTCCCACAGCATTTAGGAAGGAAATAGGTTAGAAACTGCTCCAAAGGCCTTTTCATTGCAAGAACCAATAATTATAAAGAGTGTTACATTTCCTCTGTGGTCAGTTCTTATCTCTTTCTTGGAGGGGGATAGCTAGGTGTGCTTGACATTCAGGTCAGGAAGACAAGGCCTTGCTGCCCATCTCAGCAAAGTTAGTGTTTAGAAAGTGCCGTAAGAGGGTACCTGAGGGTACCAGCTGCTCAAGTGAGCCAGATGTGATCCTGATGCTTTTCCAGGTTCTTACTTCAGTAGCATTTACTAGGTGAATAAAAGATCAACTACTATAAAATTACTTAGAAAATTTGATTCATGAACATCAATATAGACATCAATAGCAGACATTTAGACACACACATAGAAAATGAAATATTAATTTTTAACAAGCTCTCCAGGTGTGTTTTGTGTTTTAGGAAAAATGTTGATGCTCAGGTAAACCAGTGAACATTTGTGCAATGGAAAGAGTTCATAGTTATAGCTGTAAGTTATCCTCTTACTAAAAAAATTAATTCCTAACAAGTGTGAACAAACTCATAGCTGATCCTCCAGTGTGTGTCGGAGTCTGTAAACTAGACAGGAGGATACTGCCATTCTTTCTTCCATGAAGCAGATGGTGGATTTGAATCTCTAGAGAGGTGCCACATTTTGGTTAACAGCACAATTCCCTTTAAATGACACCAGCAGAGTCCTTCAAGTTATTCTACAAGAGTTCACTTAATGATTCTCAAACACGGCTATAACATGACTTAGAAAAACAGATTCATGAACAGATTCATGGACTTCAATAGCAGCCATTTAGACTCAGACATAGACAATAAATTATGAGTTTTTAACAAGCTCTCCAGGTCATGCTGATGAGCAGACGCAGATGGGAAACACAATACATCATTTTAGGAATGGTAAAGCATTCCATTTACATAGTAAATATGATCAATTCAGACCTCCAGCTTTTTGTATGCTACAGCTACCATTGTAGATAATTCCTTTGGGCTCCTCCAACTCTAAAAATGTTTTTAACAACCACAAACTCTTTCTAACATATTATCACTCAGGATAATTGATCTACATTTTCACTTCTAAAAAGAAAGAGAGGAAAATGACATCTAGTTTAATAGTCTGTCTTCTTACTCTAGCACTCTCTGGGTTGGAAGACAGAGGGATGTGTTGGAAAATCTTGAAGATATTTGATTCAATAGGGCAAGATCGCTCCTCAAGTAGCCTGCTGCTTTGGAAGCTAATATTAATGGATTAGTGGAATTGAGCTACAAGGTCAGGTTTATGCACTGGAGAAATTTCAAATATGGTTTATTGAATGGTATTTAAGATCAGAGTGTTAAAATCACCAAATAGATTTTACTATGGAGAGTGAGGTTGAAACAAGTCAGTTGGCCCAACCAGAAGATGAAAGTAGCCTAAGCTTAGGTGTTCAGCAGCCTTAACGAGCAAAGTAGAATTTATACTAAAGAGACATATATATTAATGACTCTATCTTCTTGGACACACCAATACAATGACTATGCATGAAAGATTTCTGCACTGTTCAACTTGATTTTCTCATCTTTTCTTGCAGCACAAGGCACAACAGAGACACTTCTGACTGCCTACTTGGGTGAATCAGTGACACTACCCTGCCTGTACTCAGCCTGGTCTTCAAGCAGCAATAGCATGTGCTGGGGCAAAGGCCAGTGTCCCAAGTCCAAGTGCAATAATGAGCTTGTCCACACGGATGGAACAAAAGTGCTCTCAAGAACTTCAGCAAGGTATAGGCTTCTAGGGTATATCCAGAAGGGAAATGTTTCCTTGACCATCTCAAATACCAATGAAGGTGATAGCAGTGTGTATTGCTGCCGCATAGAGGTGCCTGGCTGGTTCAATGACGTGAAGAAGAACATACGCCTGCAGCTAACGAGAGGTGAGTGCATGAAGGAGCATAAGTCTATAGAATCAGGGAGTTCATTGCTGTTGTGCTGAAGAGACTATGGTTTCCCTTCCAATGATTGGGAGGAATGTTATCTCGGAAATGTGTGGCTGTAAAGAAGCAAAGAAGCCAAGAGAAGGATCTGGTGGGGAAAGTAAAATTCTTATAGGGGCTGAAAGGGTCACAGAAGTGAAAGAGCTGGGGCAGCTGGAGGTGAAGACCATCCCAGGGTCCATTTGAACAGGGACTTGCCGCTTATCTAGGTGATTATTAACGGGCACAAATGTAGCCCCAGTGTTTTTAGTATTCTCTATTTTTTAAATAAATTACATTGGCTTTGTATGCTGAAAAATAGTTCAAAAACAATTTTAAAATGTTCTGTTCTTGCAATGTAATGTATCCATGGGGAGCTTCAGCTCATAAACCTATGAATAGTTTGTTGCTTCTGGAAGAGGGACAAGGGCATGGAGTTTGAGCTTAGCATTTCTAGGTGTTCTCACCTTTTTTATGATCAGTTGTTTTTGATGATATTTAGAATGTGACTGGAATTCTTAAGGATTCGAGCTGCATAGAATTAGGTCTATGGTTGAATTATGCTAAAATTTTTTATTCTGTTGCCATCAGTCAAGATGATTACTGTTTCATGGCAACTCTATGCATAATAGACTGAAGCACTGTATAGTTCTGCACCATCCTCATCGGCAGTCACAAATCAGACCACTGTGATTGACAGACTTTTCATCAATTGATTTCAGGAAGTACCTGGCCAGTTCTTCTTAGTCTGTATGGAAACTGTGCTGAAATTTGTTCAGCTTCATAACAACAAGGTTTCACTTGTGGATCAGTGGTGCTGATATGTCAGGTCCACTTGCCAGGAATGCATGGAAGTTGACAATTATACTCCGGAAACACCAATGCTAACCAATGCTAAACTCATTCTGTGGAGTCTGAACCAACGCATAGCTGATGCTCCAATGTGCTTTCTGAAGCTGTGTATATTCATGGAAGGAGATTGCACATGTCTGTCCTATACAGCTATTGGTAGATTTAAACCACCAGAGAGACGTGATCCTTGGGCTAGCAGCACAACACCCTACGCTCTACAGGTCCAGACCTTTGTGAATATGCTAACAATAACTATCTCTACTTCTAATTTGGAATGGATTTTTACAAAGTGAGCTCTCTGTACTACCCGCATCAGTGCCACTTAGCATATTCTTGGGATTTTCCTAAATGGGAGAGGCATCTCTGGAGGTTGTTATGTGCCATCCAGTCAGTCGCGACTCAGAAATTCTATGAACAACAGCCCTGAAACCTGCTCTGTTCTGTACCAACTTTACTGTCTCTGACACATCTACCCTCATTACCTCAGTCACTGTATCAATCCATCTCATTGATCATCTCCCTCTCTTTCTCTGTCCCTCCATCCTTCCAAGAATGATGTCCCTCTCCAAGGACCATTCCTCCCTGCAACACGCCCAAAGTATGTTAGACTAAGCCTCAGAATCCTTGCCACAAGGAGCATCCTGGTTTCACCCTTTCTAGGACAAACCTATTTATTCTCCTGGCAGTCCATAGTATATTATACTCTTCTCCAGCACCATAGCTCAAATCAATTCTCTTTTTATCATCCATAATCATTGTCAAGCTCTTTGATGCATAGCAAACAATTTTGAAGACCAAGGCCTGGATCAAGTGCACCTTAGTCTTCATACTAGTGTCATTGCTCTTTAGTACTCTGGAGAGGTCCGTGACAGCCAACTTTCCCAATGCAATTAATCTCTTGATTTCCTGGCTGCTAGTACCAAGACTGCTGATTGTTGAGCCAAGCAAACTAAAGCTGTTAACAAACTCAATCTCTTCATCACTTATCATAGTGTTGAAATCAGCCCAATGGTGAGAATCTTTGTTTTCCCGATGTTGAATTGCAATCCATATTGAAGGCTGCAGTCTTTGACCTTCCACAGCAAGTACTTCAGGTCTTCCTCATTTTCAGCAAGTAGGGTTGTGTCATCTGCATAATTCAGGTTTTTGATGAATCTTCCTCCAATCTTGATGCCGCATTCCTTCTCATACAGCCTAGTCTCCCAGATGATCTGTTCTGCATATAGATTGAAAAGGTATGGAGACAGAATGCATCCCTGGTGTACTTACACCCTTCCCAATTTTGAACCTTGCTGTTTCTGACAAGTACCTCCTGGTCCAAGTATAGGTTTCACATAAACACATCCAACTATTCTGGGATTCCCATTCTTCTCAGAGTCAGCCACAGTTTGTTGTGATCCACACAGTCAAGCATCTTTGCATAGTCAATGAAATATGTGTAGACATTCCTCTGGTATTCTCCGCTTTCAGCCAAGATCCATTTAACACTAACTATAATATCCCTAGAACCATGGCCTCTTCTAAATCCAGCCTGCACATCTGACAGTTCTCTGTTGATGTATTGCTCTCTTGGGTTAGGATTAGGATATCTGAGAAATTTTCTAGGGCACTTGATTGAAACATAAGATTTGAAGAGAAATAATAATTCTTTTGTATACATTAACTATAAAACCAACTTTGTGTGCGATAGGTTATTTCTATTTTGTGTGGTATGATACTTTTATTTTACAAAAGAGAAAAATGGAATTCATTAAAGTTGAATAACTTATTAAAGACTTATTTTTTCCAGTCTAGTAGAATTACCAACATTTTATAAAATACTTGTTAACCTTAATGTCTGTGGGATCTTTTCTAAGCTCACTTGAAATATATACTGTCTTTCTGGTCATTAGAATAAGTGAACATTTTCTATAAATAAGAGGTCTATAAAAGAGCACTGAACATCCCGTGGATGGCCAAGAGAACAAACAGATATGTCTTAGAGAGGGTGAAGCTGGAGTGCTCTTTCAAGGAAAGAATGATGAGGCTTTGCCTCACATGCTTTGGGCATGTTGATAGGATGTGCTAGTCCTTGAAGAAGGACTTCATGCTGGGAAGGATGGAGGGTCAGTGAAGAAGTGGAAGACCTTCAACCAGGTAGATTGACACGGTGACTGCTACAATGAGTTCTTGTGTGTCAGGAAGTGTGAGAACGGTGCAGGATCGAACAGTGTTCAGATCTTTTGTTCATAGGGTTGCTATGAATTGTACTCGACTTGATGGCATATAACAAGAACAACTATAGAATAAATGGCAGCTAATGAACTCAAAGTCAAATATTTAAAAGGTAAGGGGTGTTAGTGTGAAGTAATCTTTAGTATCTGAGAGAGATTATATTCTCATTCTATTGCTTATTTTGGGGTCACTTTTGATGCCATAACTCACTCATGCAATATTTTTCGATCTGTCTGTCACTTTGTCATCCTGTGGGATTTCAGTTGGAGCCATCTGCGCATGCCCATGTTGTACCATGAGGCCAGCCTGTTGCTGTGATGCTGGAAATGATAACACTAGTGGCATACAGGCTTCAAAAGCATTTCCAAATTAAGACAGATAAGGAAGAAAAGACTGGCAATTTGCATCAAAAATTAGCCAATGAAAACTCTTAAATCACAATAGAACATTGTCTAATTACCAATTACCACAGAAATAGCACAGGATCAGGCATTATTGTTCACTCAGAGTAAAACCTGAGGACAACCATTATTATATAAGATGAAAACCCTTCGGAGAAGTATTTTTCACTAAAATGAATAATAAAAAAATTGGTTAAGACTGCTATTATGTCGACTCTAGTTCATAACAACCTTATGTACAACAGAATGAAATGCCGCCTGACCATGTGCCATCATCACAGTCGTGACACTCCTTAAGTTCATGTTCACAGTGCCTGTGTCAATCCTTCTTGTTGAAAGCCCTCCTCCTTTTTGGTGACCCTCTACTTTTCCATGTACAGTATTTTTCTCCAGAGACTGTTAACATGCCCAAAGTATGTGAGACCAAGTCTTACCATCTTTGATTCTAAGGTACACTATAGTTTTGTTTATTCTTTTGGAAGCCCATAGTATATTAATTCAGTGTTCTTTGTCAACACTATAATTCAAGCATCAATTCTTCACATTTTCTTCTGTCAAAGGTGGAAAACTTGTGAGATATAGAAAAACAAGATACAAACTCGTTGAACTCCAGTTCTCACAGTTTTCATTGTACATAGGATTATCATAAATTGGAAAATAGTATGACAAACATTGTGGCATTGAAGCCAAAAACACAATAAAACTACAAACCAGAACTGTTGTCATTAAGTCGATTCTGACCCATTGCAACAGAATGTAACTACCTCATTTCTGAAACTGAAATCTTAATAGAAAGAGATTGCCACAGCATTCTATCATAAAGTGGCTAGGTTTGAATTACCAACCTTCTGATTGCATCCAAGCACTTAATCAGGCTAAGGCAAGAGAACCAAATAGATACCAGGTTTTTCTTCTAGAAAATCAAAGCCTAGTGGAGAAAACAGACATTAAATAATAATCACATAAATAAATGTATGTTGTTGTTGTTGTTCTGTGCCATCGAGTCATTTGGGACTCATAGCGACCCTATGCACAAGAGCTCTAAACGCCATTCTATCCTGTGCCAACGTCGCCGTCTCAAACACATTCATTCCCACCACTCCAGTCACAGAATCGATCCATGTAATCAAGGGTCTTCCTCTCCTGCACCTTCCCTCCAATCTGCCAAACATGATGTCCCTCTCCAAGGACCAGGCCCTCCTTGCAACAAGCCCAAAGTATGTCACATGAAGCTTCAGAATCCTTGACTCCAGGGAACATTCTGGGTTCACCCTCTCCAGGACAAATCTGTTTGTTCTTCTAGCAGTCCATGGTATATTCAACACTCTTCTCTGGCACCACAGCTTAAAGGCATCAATTCTCTTTCTATCATCCCTATTTACTGTCCAACTCTCTGACACATAGCACGTAACTGTGAAGACTATAGCCCGGATCAGGCAAATCTTAGCCTCCAGCCTGACGTCATTGCTCTTCAGTACTCTTGATAGGTCCCTCAGAGCTGACTTTCCCAAAGCAATTCATCTCTTGGTTTCCTGGCTGCTGTTACCGAGAGTGTTGACTGTGGAGCCAACTAAACTAAAACTGTTAACTATCTCAATCTCTTCACTATCCATACTGATGCTGCCAATTGTCCCAGTGGTGAGAATCTTTGTTTTCTTGATATTGAGCTTCAATTCGTATTGAAGGCTGCAGTCTCTGACCTTCTGCAGCAAGCGCTTCAAGTCTTCCTCAGTTTCAGCAAGCAGGGTTGTGTCATCTGCATAACGCAGGTTGTTGATGATTCTTCCACCAGTCCTGATGCTACATTCCTCTTCGTACAGCTCAGCGTCTCTGATAATCTGTTCTGCATACAGATTGAAAAGGTATGGAGACAAAATACATCCTTGATGGACCCCCTTCTTGATTTTAAACCATGTAATAAATGTACAGTTAATGAAATATAATGAAGACAAAATAGAAACATATAACAAGGAAGATTAATTGGATGGTCTTCTTGCAGAAGTGATATTTAAGGGCCAGTCTTGTGTAGTACAAGAAGGAAGCAGCAGGAACAAAACTCTCATTGTTCAAAGTTAATTGATGTGTTCAAAGAACTGAAAGATAGTGGGATTGGAAAAGTGAGGAGGATGGAGATATGAGATTGGGATGAGATGTGAGTGTAAAAATGGGGGAGTCTTTCCAGCCCAGGTCAAGTGCTGAGTCAGGGTGGGATGTTGTTGTTGGGTACCATAGAGTGTAGACTGACCTATAGCTGACCCTCTGGTGGGTTTTCAGAGGCACTTAATTGCACAGGAGGAGATATTTCAAGATTGAAATTGGCATAATTAGATTTGTCATTTTGAAGGAATACTCTAGCTAATGTATGAATAACAGTTTGAATGAGACAAGAATGGTGGCAAGAAATCTACTTGTAAAAGGCATTGTTACTGTTGTTGTTGAGTACCAGCAAGTTGGAGCTGACCCATAGTTGACCCTCCAGGGGGGTGTCAGAGGCATAATCACATGGGAGATTAGGGGAGGTGTCAGATTATGTCAGAGGCATAATCATATGGGAGGAGGGATTAGGTGAATTCAGACCAGGTGAGGGCAGAAGAAAATGAGAGAAAGAAACAGATTCCATATATATATTCCCTTTTTCTCCACTTCCACTTGATCATAGACATATTTTTCATTTATTGCAGGTCCAACAACTACGCCTACAACAACAACTACGCCTACAACAACAACTACTACTCCAACAACTACAACAACTACACTTCCAACAACTATACCTCCACAAACCTCACATCCAACAACTACACCTCCAAAAACAATTGCACCTCCAATAACAACCACACCTCCAACAACAACCCCAAGCCCAGAAATAACCCTTCACCCAACAATAACCCCTCAGCTAAGAACCACTACTGGGATGACAATAACTGTCCCTCCACCTGATCACACAACTGGACTACAACTTCAGACAAGAACCACAGCTAATCTCTCATCACCTGCAACCAAGTGTCCCAAAACAAGACCAAATCCCCATCCAGAGGCAACCATACATCTTCTGACCATAACCACTGAACCTCCCATGGAAGTTTCCTCCTTCACCAAAGGTATGCTATAAAATTGGCTATTCTTTTCCTTTTGTTAAGTTAGAATTTTCTGGTTTCTTGGGAACTGAGCTATTTCACTGGGAAGGACAGCTTGACAACTTGCTCTTGAGTCTGTGTGTGTGTCCCCATGAGAACATGATTTATTTGATTGTTTGTTCTCTTCCCCTCCCTTTTAAATTTTCTTTATTTTGTTTGTGTTGATAATATGCACATAAAAACATACACCAAGTCAATAGTTTCTAGAGGCACAATTTTTTCTCTCTCATTGTTGCTGAATTAGTATCAACTTATAGCTGTCCCTCCATTGGGATTCAGAGGCTGTAAATTGCATTGGAAAAGATTGCCCATCATTCTCACATAGAACTGCCAGCAGATTCAATCCATTAGATAAGAGTGGCCTGTGGGTTAACAACATAACTCACTATGAACTACATTACCAGACCTTCCAAAGTATAATTTACTGACATTGATTATTCACATTGTTCCACTCTCATATCCCTTTTTTGTGTTATTCTTCCTCCCTTTACATAAACTTACTATCTCTTAAGGTTTCTATCCAGTTTTTCAAATTGCTTTTGTCAATTTTGTTGCACATATCTTAAAATAGCATAATGTTCAAGGCAGGCCTTTTTCACTATTTATTTGTATGAGCAAGTCAGGACCAACTTGAAGCTGGCCCTCAAGTGGGTTTCTTCAGAGGCACTGGAGGAGATTTCCCAAATTTGTCATGGTGAATAACTGGAAGACTGAAATTTTATACCTTTGGGTTAGAGGCAAAACTCCTCACCACTAAGCCAACAGAGCTCCCTATCTTTTTTACTTGTTATGTGCTGTTGAGTAGGCTGCAACTCATAGCGAGCCTATATACAACAGCCCTAAACATTGCCCTATCCTGTGGCAATCTCAGTGTCTCTGACACACCTACCCGCCTTATCCCAGTCACTGAATCAATCCATCTCATCAAGGGTCCTCTCCTGTGCTGTCCCTCCACCCTCCCAAGCATGACATCCCTCTCTAAGGACTTGTCCTTTCTTGCAACATGTTCAAAGTATGTCAGACAAAGCTTCTGAATCCTTGTCTCCAAGGAACAAGCTGGCTTTACCCTCTCCAGGACAAACCTGTTCATTTTCTTAGCAGTCCTTGGTATATCCAATACTTTTCTCCGACACCACAGCTCAAAGGCATCAATTATCCTTCTATCATCCCTACTCACTGTCTAGATCTCTGATGCATAGCAAGTGATTGCTCAGACCATGGCATATATCAGGCACACCTTCGTCTCCACACTGATATTGCTCTTTCAGCACTTTAGAGAGGTCTCTAACAGCCATCTTTCCCATCGAAATATGTCTTTTAATTTCCTAACTGCTGGAGCCAAGACTGTGGAGCCAAGCAAACTAAAATTGTGAACAATCTCAATCTCTTCACCATCCATCATGATGCTGCCTATTAGCCCAGTAGTGAGAATCTTTGTTTTCTTGATACTGTGCTTCAATCCATACTGAAGACTGCAGTCCCTGACCTTCCACAGCAAGTGCTTCAGGTCCTCCTTAGTTTCAGTGGGCAGGATTGTGTCATCTGCATAACACAGATTGTTAATGAGTCTTCCTCCAATCCTGATGCCACATTTCTTCTCATAGAGCCCAACCTCTCAGATAATATGTTCTGCATAAATATTGAAAAGGTATGGAGATAGGATGCATCGTTGGCGTATACCCTTCCCAATTTTGAACCACGCAGTGTTTCCTTGCTTTGTTCTGATGACTGCTTCCTGGTCCAAGTATAGGTTTCACATTAGCACGATCAACTGTTCTGGGATTCCTGTTCTTCTCAGAGTTAGCCACAGTTTGTTGTGATCCACATAGTCAAATGCCTTTGCATAATCAATGAAACATAGATAGACATTTCTCTGGTACCCTCTGCTTTCAGCCAAGATCCATCTAACATTAGCTATGATATCCCTAGTATCATGACCCCATCTAAACCCAGCCTGCACTTCTGGTAGTTTTCTGTTGATGTGCTGTTGCAGTTGTTTTTGGATAATCTTCAGTAGGATCTTGCCTGCATGTGATATTAATGATCTTATTTGATAATTTCCACACTTTTAAGCTAAATTATCATTGACTTTTACAATGATTTTAGGCATACTTTTGGTTTAACATTTAAATATTACCTATACCCTCCATAAATCCAGAAAAATTTTCATTGTTTTTATGTGCTGTTGCACCAACTACAACTCATAGCCACCCATGAAACAATAGCTCTGAGCCTTGCTCTATCCTGGGCCAACCTCACCACCTCTGACACCTCTGATACCATTACCATTGTTGGTGTGCCACACTATCTCATCTCTATCTTCCTCTCTTGTGACCTCTTACGTTTCTAAGTATGATGTACTTTTGCAAGGACTGGCCCCTTTTTGAAACATGCCCAAAGAATGTGAAATGGAATTTCAAAATATCTGCTTCCAAGGAACAACCTGGTTTCACCCTCTCTAGGAGAAACTTTTTTGTTCTCTAGGCAGCCCATGGTATGTTCAGTACTCCCCTCCAGCACTATAACTCAAAGGCAGCAATTTTTCTTTCATTCTTAGTCGTTGTCAATCTCTTAGATGCATAGTAAGCAATGCAGAAGACCATAGCTTGGCCATCTTAGTCTTTAGACAGAGATAATTGCTCTTTAGCACTCCAGAGAGTTCTTTAACAACAGATTTTTCCCAGGGCAACTCATCTTTTCATTTCCTGACTGCTGGTGCCAAGGGTATTGATTTGCATCCAAGTAAAATGAAATCACTGACAACTTCAATCTTTTTTCCATCTAACATTATGCTGCCTATTGACCTAGTGGTTTGGGTTGTGTTTTGTTGGTTGTTTTTGTTTTTGTTTTTAGTGTTGAGATGCAATCCATATTGAAGGCAGTAGTCTTTGACCTTCTGCATCAAACACTTCAAATCTTTCTCAGCTTTAGCAAGCAAAGTTGCGTCATCTGCATAGTACAGGTTGTTAATGAGTTTTCCTCCAATCCTGATTCGACATTCGCCTTCAAAAAGTCCAGCCTCCTTAATGATTTGTTCAGCATGAAATAATTCTTTTCTACATTTCCTCTCTTATTATTGGCCAAGATTCTTTGGTAGAACTTATATGAAAGTGTTCAGTAATGGTAGATAAGCATCAATCAATTATTCTGTTTTCATGACAAAGGAGGCAGGTGTTCATGGAGGTAATTAGCAACAACACTCATTTCTTTCTATTCCTGACTTTCCTTCCTTTGTTTCTTCAGGTCAATAGAGGCTAACTGGTGTGCTCTGAATAATTACTTATAAGCTTTTAAGACTTCTGGTGTTACACAAGAAATTAGAACGTAAACTAGAAGCACTGAACACTTATTGGGCCAATTAACTGGGATATCTATGAAACCATGACTCTACAGCTCCAAACTAATGAACTAACATAGGAGGTTTTAAGGCTATATGAAAGCTATTTGGCAGTTACTCTTTTATTATTTTTATATGTATATGTGGTTGTTGTTTCTCAAACACTGTATCTCTGACACTTTCGCCATTTCACCATTTTAGAGATGCACAACTTACTGACACCAGTTGAAATAAAGGACTGTGCAATCAGCTGTGCAATTACTGGTTGTGCAGTCCTATAATTGGATGTGTGATTTTCCTATCACCCCTATCACCATTAGCCTTCTGGCCTCTCTTTCCTGGTAAACACAAATGACTTTGTTCTCTATACATTTTCCTTTTCTTGTCTTTTTATGTAAATGAAGTTATACAATATTTGTCTTTTTGTAATTGTTTTATTTTGCTTAGCATAATTTCTTCAAGGTGAACTCTGGTAGTTTAGTGATAAGAAGGTAGGTTGCAAACACGAAGTTATATGATTTAAATCCACCAGGAGTTTCTATGGGAGAAAGTTGGACAGGCTACTGCCATACAATTTAGTCTCTGCACACCTGCTTGCTGGAGGGTCAGTTATGAGTCAGTTCCAAGTTGATGGCACATAATCACAACAACCACAGTCTCTTAAAGCTCAGTTCGCCCTGAAGCATCTAGCAAGACTTCATTTCTTACCTTTTGAGAAAGCACAAAACTGTCTTCAACAATAGTTGCACCATTTTACACTCCCACTAGCAGGGAATCAGGGTTCCAATCTCTTCACAACCTCACCAGTGTTTGTTGTTTGTTGCTCTGTTAAATGAAATAGAAATACCATTTGACCCAGCATTGCCATTACTGAGAATATAACCTAAAGAAACCATAATCCCTGTCCAAACAGATATATGCACACCATGTTCATTGTTGCAATATTTACATTAGCAAAGAGAAGGAAGAAACTCAAGTTCCCATCAACAAATGAATGGCTAGAAAAATGATAGTGTATGCATATGATGGGATACTACACAGCACTGAAAAAGAATGAACTCATAAAACATTATACAACATGGGTTACCCTCCTAGGACATTATGCTGAATGAAATATCTCAGTCATAAAGGACAAAATTACATAGCACCACTGTTATAAAGCAAGTCTGACATGGAGTTTTGGAGGAGAATAGGATAAGAGTGGATATATAATGAACATTGCCCTGGAATAGACAAAGGAAAGAACTTTTTAAAAGGAATATATAATTATGCTTTAAATGTATGACAATAGCTCAAAATAAGAGGTACATTACAAAGAGAACAGGGGGTAGGGAATTAGGGAGGCAATTGCACATAAATAAATGTTTAAAAAACAAAAATGTGAGTGAGCATCATGATCTTGTTCTCAGTGTCAAGAGACTGACACTGTCAGTCTTTCTATATTATGTATACTCTTGGCTATTGGCCTTTTTATGCAGATCATGAATCAAATTGAAGGATAGGATTTTCCTCTAGATTATTCCATTTAGGGTTTTCATCAAGAAGTCTAGTTGGTTTACAGCTTCATTCAGGTCCTTGTTTCCTTGTCCTTTCTAGATATTCTGTACAAAACTGGATGAATCCCAAC